CTACGGTGCTGCTCCTCCTCAGAAAAACGCCTATCACCAACGCTCGATCTCTTCAGCTCCGTTGGCGGATCAGTTTATGAGTAGTGCCTCGCGCAAGAGTCACGTGCATCAGAGGGACGCTATCGGAGTCGTTAGCGGTTAGTTTGTTTTGATTTGAGAGTTGGAAGTTTTTCGCTAGACATCAATAAGCTTATCGAGCGCAAAGGTCGGATTTCGAAGGTGGTTTATTCGACGTCAACCTCATTCTAGCACGTTGATAACATCCGCGTGTTCATCTTCACTCTGTGTCCTACTTTCTTTTTGGTTTTTAGCGGTGCTTCAAGAAAGCAGAGATCTGAACATAAACGTAATCACTCCTCGCTGTCATTAACACGAATTCGCGTGATTCTCGATTCGCTCACGTGGACTTGCTCCTTGTTAGGGAGTAGTCTATGTGGGCAGCTGAGAGAGCTCCCTGAAAGATCAGAATGCTGTTCTGCCTTTTTTCGCTCCTTAAGATTCCGGAAGATTTTGTGTTATTGGAGAAGTTTTGTAGTGTTTCTGGTAGATAGAAGAAAAACCGAAGGCAGATTCTTGCTCAGCTTAATTTAATATTTTGATCGTACCCGAGAGGCGTTTTGCGCTAAATCTCTGTTTAGGATAGTGGTAGTCACAAGACTGATGCAAATCGTAGATGGTTTCTTTTTCATTGCAGGGGGGGGGTAAAAAAGGATAAAGCATTTGCCGTTGATCAATCCCTTTTTGGGATGCGGCACGCATTCTACTTCCATTTGTACATTCGTAGTGGCGTTTGAATGCGATGTGGCCTATACAATGACTTGCGGGGGCCAGCCGATGTACAAGTCAGTGTTTTTATCCTCCCAGACAAGTCTGGTACCAATTAACCGACCCCGGAGGGATGGAAGGCTTGGTTGGCCGGGCGACTCACGACCCAGGATTGATCCCCGGACCGCTGTACGTGGTAAGTAGCGCCACTTTCCACGATAGGGGGAGGGAGGATGTAATTCTAGGTTTGAAGAGCAGAACAGACTATTCTCCGCCGCTGCGACGAACACGTTTTCCTACAAATTGGCAGTGATTTTCGTTGCTGTGCGATCGAGTGAGGAATTGCCCTCTCAAGCGTAGTTCCTCGTAGTTCCTCGGGGACGAGTCTTGTTCGTGGTTGTTACGTTGTTCCCATGGATCCGGATACGAAAAGACCCACCGCGGCCTTCCTTGATGCGTTTCGTTCTCAAATTTCATCGCCTTGCACTTTCTGTTTCCGTATGCGGCTTCCACACATCTCTTCTGACCCGACTACATCGCATTGTTTCACCACTTGTAGTTGGGAAACTTCTCTTTAAAAGCTGGAATCGTTGCTGCATTATGCATTATTTGGGACACTCGTCCTGCTACTATTATACTGCTGGTTCCCTTCTGTGAATCAAAAAGTAGGCAACGTGTTTTATACGCCGCGCTCTACCTTGATTTAATACTCTTTGAACTTGGTCCAATTCTCAAAATTTCAGCTCAACGTGCTGGAGATCGTGCAATGTCTGCTTTCGTGATTCCACCGGGCTTGTCTGCTCAACAGCAGTTTGGCAGTCGTGCCAGTCAGCTCGACTATCGAGGTGTTTCGCCATCAAACAGTCAAAAGAGTATGACTAATGGTGAGTTGTACATATGAATAGTTTACTATGTTCACATTTATACCCACGTTCTAAACGTGCAGATATATTGCCTGGATGGTTGTCTACATATGGTGGTTTACTCACAGGGAAAGGAGCATAGAGGAGAGGACCCTAAGTCCATAGATTACGCGTATTCTATTTCTGCGAATTATGTTGTCCACAAAAATGTTATTTTTGCTGCTGCTAGGTTCAGAATAGTCCATGTTCGACCTTCTTGCAATCTTGGCATGGTTAGTTCAGTAGGAATGATTCTTCAAGCCTTTCAAGATTGAACTTTTTATACAAGGCTTACGTTTCGGCTTCTTCGCCTTCGTCAGAGCCTGAAATGGTCAAAAGCATGTGTAACTTGTTCGCTCAAACGCCTCAACAGAAAACTCAAGACTATTTCACTAGACTAGGAAACTTCCAAAGGTATTGATCGATAGAGACATGGGACTGCTCACCTTGAACTCCGCCGCTAAGACAGGAGGACGACCGGTAACTTAGAAGTACCTCCCACCGACCTCATGGTAGATCAAAGTTTACAAAGGTCGAGGAAGGGTGCGAAGAAGCCGAAACGTAAGCCTTGTATAAAAAGTTCAATCTTGAAAGGCTTGAAGAATCATTCCTACTGTTATTTTTGCGTTGACGCTGATGCTACTGCGATGACTGATGTGCCAATCACATGCGGCCTCCTAAATTTGAACCTTCTAACACGGGCTCTTTCCTTTCGTTTGCACTTCGTTTGATCGAACCAGCGCAGTTGAAGCAACGAGCTTTTTTGATAGACGAGTTGATAAAATTATGTGTACTTCATCGTTGTTGAAAATTTTCCATTATCATAATTGGGTTGGCCAAAATGAAGTTTTTGTTGTATAGGAGCATCTAGTGAGCGTAGTATGAATTGGTGCTGGAACTGTTAAGGGCTGTTTCTTTCAGAATTCTGCACGCGTTCCATTCTGTTGAATCCTTCATTTGTCGTCACATTTTTTGAAAAGAAATTCGAGTGACAAAAAATGAATGGTTCTCGTGTAGTTTTGCATGAAGTTGATCTTGAACGCTACCTCAAGTTTTCGAAACGTGTTGTGAAGATGGTAGAAGTTACTTGCGCGCGGGAACGTGCTGTACCCATTTTTCCATAAATGCATCGCAATCAAACACTGTTGCAACGTGCTAAGTTCCATGCATGAAAACTAAGTTTTTGAAAAGAAGTAAGCCTCCGAAAACCACACTTTGTCGATACAATCAGACACCTGGGCGGACTCAAGGGGACGTATATGTAAAACAAACTTCGTGGTGAGGCGGGTATGGATCAGGCAACGCCTGTTAGGAAGAAATGGAATTCAACCTTCCAATTTCGGAGAGTAGCGACAAAACGCTCAATAGATTAAGCTAGTGAAAGTTAAGTAGAAGAGTGAAATGTTTTGCCATAGTTGTGACGGCCAAAAAGATTTCTGTCTGACACTTTTGTCACAGTTCTACGGCTGGAAGTTCAACGAGTAATAGGCAATTTCTTTCTTTTTATGTGAAGTGTGGGTCTCAAGCTAGCTGTTTATGGGGAAGACAGAATCATACTCTTTAAATGTGCAGCTTCTTTAAAGTTAGAAAATGGAATTGCTTCTCTTGTCTTTATGCACGTTCATCTCGTTATTTCCTCAGTTTTGCCCTTGCTTTCATCGTATTTTTCTGGCAGCTCGGGCAAGCATACATATTGTGTGCGTCCCGGTCTGAACATTGGGGCTAACTGAGTTGGGGTGACCATGCGGCGCTCTGTTCGTCTGCTCCTCCAAGGCTTAGTCCCAGGGGCAGTTACTATTTCGCCATCACGTGGCAGTTTCGAAATACGCGCCATCGGGGACTAAGCCTTGGAGGAGCAGACGAACAGAGCGCCGCGCCGCCGCGTGGTCCCCCCCCCCAACTACAGCTTTGAACGGGACAAAATTCCCTATTAATCACAGCTTATTGAGGAGGGGATCCGTTACTCAGATGGTTTACCTTTATTATTCATAAGAAACCGATTAGATTTAGTGTCACTCCATTGTCTTCTGTGATGCCTCTGTAAACCATTCGCTACAAAAATCTGCTTTGTCGATTAGTCTCTGCCATAGTCCAGACTATCGTGGAAGGTTTACAAAAGGCATCTCGGGGTGGCGACAAATTTGGCCGCGAAATTCCTTAATGTCTCGACCAAGTGTCCCCTCACCCAATTATCAGTGACGGTCTGAAGGATCCTCTTCACGGGTGCGCAGTCATTCAAGACCCACGTCTATTAACGTGCTGGCGACGATGGTGACATAGAAGTTTGGGGAAAACCAGAACCTTGTCGCCGCCGCGTAACAACCACGGCGACCATCTCTAGCCACCGACGCTCAGAGCTGTTCGACGATCTGCCGCGATATCGTCACGCTGTTCTGCTGTGCTGTTGTAGGTTTAATGGG